CCAACCGGCTCTGAACTCAGAGACCAGAATAAACTGAGCCCCGGGTTAGAGCAAGCCAGGAAAGAATTGTTTTCCTGGGGACAAATTTATAATATTTTAAAAAAGTTTTGGGCAGAGTTTTGTTGTCGGGTTTTTCCAGGTTTTCATCAAAGAGTTGATTGGTGTCGAACAAAGCCATGTGAATGGAAAGTATATTTGACACCCCCCCCCCATTTATTGTTTAAAATAATCATGATATTTTAGGCCAATCTTGCAATTTGGGGGTGGGGTGACAAAATCTTAAAATGCTTGGGGTTGGCAATGCTGGATGTCCCCTTACTCATTGGTGCGTGGCTCAGGGATAAGCGAGTAGGAGGGGCTATAGGATGCCAGCTCGTCTCTTCTCTAGATTCTCCATTGATTTCTACAGAATTCTAGATTCCAGTCGTTATGGATTCATCACAATGATGATCGAGCCGTGCTTCATCTTGGTGGGTGTTAACTCTGGTCCCTAACAATGACAACCAAAATGGTCAGTGTGTTAACCACTGATCATTTGAGCCCAGACATCTGGCTCATAGCAGGCCTGGAGACTGTGGGCAGGGCTTGTAGGTCACACCTATCCCCTAACCTTTGTTGCATCAATTTAGATTGCAAGCGCCTTGGGGCGAGGACCGTCTTGGCAGGTGTCTGTGCAGCTCCGAACGAAGCCATCCCCATGTTTGCTGTTCTGTGTTTGTGCAGCACCCCCAGCAGGGGTCTGATCTTGATTGTCCCTTCCCCTGGCACCATTGTAATAAACATGATTCTCTTCTTCCCCCTCTGAGCCTTGAGCTAGCTTAGACCGCGCTGCCCATCACCTCGGCATCAGGTCTTTTCTCACTTGCTGCCGAGGGAAGAGCTAAGGAGAAGGTCAGGAGACCAGAATGTCACCAGCATGTGACAGAGACAAGTGGCCATGAGATGCCCCCTCCGGGGATCACAGCATTGGGAGTTAATAGCTGAGTACAAATGCATTGGGCCTATTACATGCATGAGAGGGCAAACCCCTGCCCAGCCCAAGGCCCCACACCAGCCTGAACCAGGTGTGCGGAGAGTTCTGGGCTGCAAGCCCACTCACCTGGGCCATGCAGTGCCAGACTAGCTGGTCACGATGATCCCGTTGCCTCAATGGCTATGAATGAGCCTTCAGGACCAGCCCATGGCTAACCAGCTCAGCTGCTACCCCCCAGCAGCAGGGGGGCTCAGGGCCTCTGTGGGCTTCCCCAGTTGCCGGTGGACCATCCTGGGCAGCTCTTCCAGGGCTCAACTCTCTGGAGGCAAGACCCTAGTGGAGGGTAAGGCCCCTCTGCCCAGCCCTCATGGGCTCTGGCCACTTGCTCCAGGGATGCAGCCACATGGCTGGTTGCTGGCAGCGCACTGGCCCGGGAGTGTGTCTGAGGGGAGAGCCCCAGCAGATGTAACTTCGCATTGCTTGAGTGGTGTCAATGATCCCCAGATGGTGTCAGTCTAGGGCACTCACAGAGAGCTGGTGACTAACCCCGTCGGAGACTTGGCCTGGGGCGTTTGTGCCGTGATGCCCCAGGTGCTGGGTGGAAGCTCCTGGCCGGGATTTGCTCGACAAAGACCAGGGGTGAGTGGGACTCACAGGAGGATGGAGCATGTCAGCAGAGAACTGGACAGATGACTGAGTACAGGGAGCTCCCTCCTCTAAGTCTGTATGAACCCACTACCCCATTGCAGCACTAGGGGGCGCTGTGCTGCAGGGAGCAGGGTGCTCAGCAGGGAGCTTTTCCCCCTCACACTCAGTGATGACCCCAATGCTCTAGTGGTGGGGCAAGAGGGGGCGCTGTGCTGCTGGTAGGTCTGCTGCTCACAACAGACCCCAAACCTGCCCAGGCATGCTGAATAAAGATCCCCCAGAGCTCAGGCTCCATCCCAGCTCCCTCCAGGAGAATCCCCCCGCCTCTCTCAATCCCCATGTAGGAGCATTGGGACTTGGGCATTTCCCCCACTTCCTGTCCCAAACTGCTATGCACAGGGCCTTGGATGTGCTAAATAAACTCCAGGCCCACTGCGGCACTGCCCTGTTCCCCAGAAGGGGGCACTGCAGCTACCATCCCTGCCACGGGATTCTCCTCTCCGCTGAACTCACCTGGTCCATTTTAACCCCTGCTGCGCTGAGGCCAGGTGCCTCCCTTGGTTCCTGGGCCTTCTGCAGCAGGTTGAGGGCCCAGCCACAGTGCCACCACATGCTGCCCCATCCCCCTGGCTTGTCCCGTCTCGCAGCCTCTCAGCACCACTGTGGGGAGCTTCCTCCCCGGCCTTCAACGTGCTTCATAACTGGGGAGGAGCATCAGTCTCACAAAGTTACCTGTGGGGGAAACTCAGGCATGGGAGGCTTGCCCAAGGTCAGTGGCAACGAAGGGAACTGAGCCCAGGAGTCCCGGCTCCCAGCCCCCTCCCCCCTGCTCAAACCACTAGACCCCACTCTCCTCCCAGAGCTGGGCATGGAACCCAGGAGTCCTGAGTCCCAGCTGCTGCCCCCGAAGGATTTCCCAGGGCACCGCGCTGGTTGGAGGGCTCTTCTAGCTTCCCACAATGAGATGCCTTCGACGGCCAGGCTGCGACATTTGCTTAACTGGTCTATAATTTACAACTCACATCTCATACCACAAAGGCAGCTGATTAGCTCCCTCTCACCCCACAGAACACAGCCCGAGGGTCTCCCTGCGGGGACAGAGGTAGTTAAAAGGCAGGCGGGTGGCAGGGCGCTGGCAGGGGGACTGTAACTTTGAGCCTTTGCCTGGAGCCAGAGCGACCCCAGCTCAAAGGCTGACAGGCTGGGGCGGGAATGTTACAGAAGGGGAAACTGAGGCACACAGAAACGTGACTCCACCAGGTGCACACAGCAAGTCAGTGGCAGAGCCAAAGACAGAACCCAGAAATCCTGGCTCCCAGCCCCTCCTGCTCTAACCACAAGAGCTCACTCTCCTAGGTCCAGGACAGAACCCTGACTTCTGGCCACATGCCCCCTCTTTAACCACTAGACCTTTCTCTCTTCCCCATCAGTAACAGAACCCAGGAGTCCTGATTCTCAACCCCACCTCCATCACTAGACCCCCCCACCCATTCAGAAGCAGTGGGCTCGACTCCTGCCGACCAGGGGAACGGCCCCTCTTGTGGCAACGCTTCCCTGCATCCCCAACACTGCGGTCAGGGGCACAGCTCAGTGGAGGCTGCAGCAGCAAGCAGGTGCATGAAGCCCCCATGGGGAGGCACTGCAGGACAGGGCAGCACCCCGTGGGTGGGAACTTAGAGACAGTAGCCATCTCCCCCCTTCCCCTCCCCCACCAGGTGTGGGAGTACACAGGGAATCCCTACCCCCAGGTCCTGTGGATCTGCTGTGCCCTCAGCCCTTGTGCCTGCCTGGGCTCTGCCCCATCGCCATGGGGCCAGCAGCCCCCAGCTCTCACCCCAGTCATACCCAGGGAGGCTCCTGCTTCCCTTTATCAGGGGTGATGTGGCTCCAGACCCTCTAACCTTCATGCAATGCAGGACGGGGAGCTAGGACATCATGCTGAGTGCGGTCAGACACGTGAGAGACAAGGAAAATGCAGGGAGTGGGACAGGGGCTCAGTGCCCCCATACAGCACTAGGGGGCGCTGTGCTACAGGGAGCAGGGTGGGGGAGCACAGCAGGGGCACTCTCCCTTCACAGTCAGTGCTGACCCTAAAACACCAGCGTGGCACTAGGGGGCGCTGTGCTGCAGGGAGCAGGGGTGGGGGGCACTCTCCCTTTCAAGGCAATGCACAGGGGCCTCTGGTTTTGGCTTAGAATTAAAGCTGGAGCCCTGATCAGTCATCGGGCTGGAAGGGACCCGAGAGGTCAAGTCCAGCACCCTGCACCGAGGCAGGGCCATGGGTACCTAGACCGTCCCCAACAGGTGTTTGGCCACTGTGTTCTTAAAAACATGGCCCAGCCCATGGCCAGTGACGGGTGGGAGCGCCAGCTCCCTGGCCAAAGTCCCCTTGGGGCAGCCCCCTGCAGCCTGCCTCCAGTCCCTTCCCCTCCAGTCCTAAAACTGTTGTGTGCTGTTGCTGGTGGCTGTTAAGCAGCTGAAACAGCCCACCCCAGAGGCAGCTGCATTTCAGTGCCAGGCCAGGGATCCCTCTATAAACAGCCCCCGTGCCCCGCCCCAGCGGCAGCTGCCCCCACCAGTTCCTGCATCAGCCGGATCCAGATACTCCAAATGGTCCATGATACGAGGCAGAGCCCTCAGGCAAAGGGCTGGGCTGCCCTTTGCCAGGCCCTGGGGGAGCAGATGGGCCTACAGCCATGGGCAGAGGGCAGCTGAGCCCTGGGTAGAGCTGCAGTAGGATGAGGGGCTGCAGGGCATAAAGCTCCCCAGCTCAGTGGAGGTTTCCAGGGCCTCAGAGAGGAGCAGGGGCAGATGGCTGGGTCACTGTATGGGGTGGGGGGGGGGGACCCTCCTGGGCACCCTTCTGGGACCTGGCCATGGAGCATCCCACCAGTCCTCCCCCAGGACCTAACATTGGGTGCCACTCCTCCGCCCCCAGGGTGGTCCCTACTTGCCCTGAGGGTCCAGCAGCTTCCTACCCCCACGAGCTGACTCCACCCTGGCCTGGCAAGGCCCCCACCTCCCCTCAGTGCCCATCCTCCCCCCGCCCAGGACGCAGGGCACAGACCCCTCCTCTCGCTGCACCCCTGCCTCTGGGAGCAGGGGGTGGGGCTCGGCCTTACACCCATGGAAACGCGAAGGCCAGACCCAGGCTGGGGGTGGGAACCAGGGCGGGGCCAGCGCTGTGCTCACCCCCTCCACTTGTTGGCAAAACTACAGTAGTCCAAGACAAAGTTATGGGCAGAAGGGGCAGCGGAGGGCTCAGACAGGGGGCAGGTGGGGTTGGGGGCAGCGGTCCCTGGCAGGGATTCCAAGAAATCCACCTCCCCTGTCTTGCTTCTGCGGCCTTGGAGCCAAACTGCCCCCACAGCACGGATCCGGGCCGACTCCCCGCCCCAGTGAGTCCTTCACACAGGTGGGGGCAGGCTTCCTCCGCAGAGTCCTTCAGAGCCCGAGGGGGTGCTGGTGAGAAACCCTCCGTCCGTTCCCGCGGCCCAGCTCTCCCCTGGGCTAGCAGGTGTCCGCGAGGTAGTCGAAGTGGCGGAAGGCCTCCTGCTCGGCGGCGGTGAGCGGGCGCGGCTCGCGGGCGGCGTCAGTGCGGGTGCCTCGGCCGTGAACTCCTCGTCGAAGTTGCTGATGTCCTCACGCCCCTTGATGACGGGGACGAAGGGGGGAGGGAGCCGCCGGGCCAGCAGGGCCTCCCAGTCAATGAACTGCGGGGGAGGGGAGCAGTGAGCAAGTGGGGGCGGCTGCAGCCGGACTGGGAGTTAGCCCTGCCCTTGGGAACCCCCACCAGGCTAGGCCGGGCTGGCCCTGGCCAAGCCTTGGGCAGCAGAAGGCAGCTGCAGGGTGGGAGTCACAGCCGGGGGTGCTCTCCCCTGGCAGTCAGTGGTGGCTGCAATGCCCCCATGCAGCACCAGGGGGCGCTGTGCTGCAGGAAGCAGGGCAAGGGCGCAGGAGGGGATGCTCTCCCCTGGCAGTCAGTGCTGGCCGCAATGCCCCCATGCAGCACAAGGGGGCGCTGTTGCCTAACATGACCTTAGACCAAGGGGGCTGCACTCCATCCTGGATATGGGGGAGGGGGCATCGCCTCCTGCAGGCTGAGCCAGGCATGGCAGTGCCAGCATCCAGCCGGGGGCATCTCAGCAGGAGCCAGGCTGTACCCAGGGAAGGGGGCTGCAGTGGAGGGTTGTTCTGTCTGGAGTGGGGGTGGCCGCAGGGCGGGATGTCGGGGGAATGGGGGGGTTAACATGGGGGTGGGAACTGACCCTGAAGAACGGCTGCTTCTTGACGTCCTCGGCGTCCCGCTCGCTGGAGCCCAGGCGCCGGTCCGGGTTCCTGCGCAGGAGCTGGACAGAGACACCGTCACCCTCCAGCGCCCTGCCCCCACCTCCCTCTCCATCCCCAGGGACCCCTCCCTGCCCCCGCTCTCCATCCCCGGAAACCCCCCAATCTCCATCTCCAGGGGGGACAGCCGCTGCACTGAGCCACCCTTCCTGATCCCCACCCAGAGCAGAGCCCTGGAGCATGAGGGTAGCTTGACCGGATGAGCCATACACTGGAGGGGCATGAGCTGCTCCAGGCTGGGGGCAGGGCCCCCACCTCCCCTTGATGCCCATCCCCCCGGCATCCGGTTCCTCCCCCCAGCACCCAACCCCTGCTCCCACAGGCTCTTTGGGAGCTGCCCTGCCCCCCAGCCCAGCCCCAGTGTGTGTGTGATGGGGGCAAGGCCTGGCGTACTCACCCGGCGCATGACGCCGATTGCTTCGGTGGACAGGAAGCGGGGGTACCGCACCTCATCATTCACGATGCTGTCAAACACCTCCTCCTCGTCGTCACCTGGGAATGGGGACTGCGGCGCAGAACCGGGGGGCAGGTCAACATCCCGCCAGCTCAGAGTGACCCCCAGCACAAACTTGCCCCCACCCTGCCCCAAGCGCCACCCCAAACCTCATGAGGCTGACCCCATGCACCTCAGCCCTGACCCAGTCCCCCGTCCTGAACCAAGCACTCCCCCACCTCCACCCTACCCAATATCTCCCCACCTTTGACCCAGCCCCCCGCCCTCTCCCAAGCGCCCTCCCTGCCCGGGCACCTGTGACCCGGCCCCTCCCCCCTGCCCCAACCACCCCTCTCATCTTTGAACAGCCCTCCCAGCCCAAGCCACACCCCCTCCCTCCATTCAGACCCACCCCCCATCCTGCTGGGAGCACCCCTCTGAACTAGTCCTCACTCTGCGCCCCTCCCTTACCCTACCTGCCCCTCCAACTGCCCTCCCCCACCCCAAACAGCCCTGGGATGGCTATGTGAAGAACCCAGGAGAAGACCCCGCCTCCCGACTCACCTCCCCCACCAGCATCTCATAAACCAAGACGCCCAGCCCCCACCAGTCCACGGCGCGGGTGTAGGATGTGTCTGTCAGCACCTCGGGCGCCAGGAACTCAGGGGTCCCGCAGAACGTGCTGGTGCGGTCGCCATAGCCCATCCCTGAGCGGGGAGGGGAAAGGGTTAAACCCCGGGGTCCCCCCCTGCACTGAGCAACACCCTCCCCATCGCAGGGTGGGGGCTACGCCCAGGGCTTCCTCCCAGCTCCCTGGAGGCCACAGACCCACCAAGGCTCCTGCCCCCACTGCCCCCCCCTTCAACTGCTCCCAAGCTAAGCAGGGTCAGTGCATGGAGAGAGCTCCCAGAGAGCGGGTGGGGGCTCAGCAGGGGGCGCTATCCCCTCAGTCAGGCTGGCCCCAATACCCCAGTGCAGCACTTGGGGGCAGTGTGCTGCAGGGGATGGGGTGGGAGCTCAGTAGGGAGTGTTGTGATGCAGGGGGTGGGGGGATTAGTAGGGGGCGCTGTGCTAAAGGGGGTGGGAAAATGGGGGCTGAATAGGGGGCACTGTGCTGCAGGAGTTGCCATACCCCAGGGTGGTTATGAACAACCCCTGAGCTCCCCCACAGAGCTGCATTTGTCCTGCTGTCCCTAGCAGGGTGCTTCTATCCCCCTGCAGCCAGATACGTGCCTCTCCTTCACTTCCTGTCCCAAAGTGCCGCATTCTCCCCGAGTCCCACAGCTGCCACATCCCCCCACGGAAGTGGCTGCACCCCGGCGCTGGGTGAGCCACACTCCTATAAGCAGCTTCTATGTTCCACCCCAGAGGTGGCTGCATTGCAGCAGCAGGTGGAACTGGGCACAGAGACCCCCAGTTGCCTGACGGGCCCCGGTGGCAAAGTATCTCGACACTCACACGTAACTGCCCCTGGTACCCCTGCCCCCTCCCTTGCCCTGTGCCCAGCACCCACCTTCCTTGCACAGGCCAAAGTCTGCGATCTTCACAAAACCCTCCTTGTCCAGTAATAAATTATCCAGCTTCAGGTCCCTGAAGGAGGATGGTGCGAAGGTCAGTGTGTGCGGGCAGGCTAGGAGTCCACACTGCTGGGATCTATCCCCAGTGATGGGAGGGGACTGAGGTCTAGTGGTTAGAGCAGGGACGGCTGGGAGTCTGGACTCCTGAGTCCCAGCCCCAGCTATGCACCTTATCCACAAAGTCCCGTCCCGGCTGTGTGCCTCAGTTTCCCTACCTGTACAGCAGGATGCAGAGCGGGGAGCCCCATGCTGGGCAAGGGAATGTCCCCCCTCCCCCGTTGAGAGTCTCTTACCTGTACACAATTTTGTGCTCGTGAAGAAACTGCAAGCCAAGGACGACGCACGCAGCGTAAAACCTGCAAGGGATGCCAGGCGGGGGGGGGGTGTCAATGCTGCAGCCCGTGCTGGGTCAGCCCCTCCCTGCTGGCTCTGCCATACAGAGCAAACCCAGCCCAGGGGGGGAGCAACAGCAGGCCTGGAGTCAGGACTCCTGGGTTCCACACCTGGCTCTGGGAGGGGAGCGGTGTCTAGTAGTTAGCGCAGGGGGCTGGGAGTTAGGACTCCTGGGTTCCACACCTGGCTTTGGGAGGGGAGCGGTGTCTAGCGGTAAGAGCAGGGGGCTGGGAGCCAGGACTCTTAGGTTCCAGACCTGGCTGGGACTGCCAGCAAGGCCCTGTGGGCTGGCACGCGGCTGCCCCGCACTCACGTGGCCCGTGGCTCGGTGAAGACGTCGGTGTGGATGTGCATCATGAGGTCGCCGCCGGCTGTGTACTCCATGACGAAGCAGACGTGCTCGGGCGTCTGGAAGCAGGCGAAGAGGTTCACCAGGAACGGGTGCCGCGAGCTATTCACCGTCTCGAAGATCCGCTTCTCGCACATCAGGCTGCAGGGGAGGACGGACATGGGGAGGGGTGGGGAAAGGCAGGTGTGGGGTGAGGGAGATGGTTCCCCAGGCCCCCAGCCCCTCTGCCCCCAGCAGGGGTCTCCAGAGGGGACTGGCTGGGTCTCCATGGCACCGGGGAGGGGTGGGGGGGTGCTGGCCACTCACCTCTCCACCTCGTCCCGTGCCACAATGTCGCCCTTCTTCAAGGCTTTGATGGCATAGAGCTCCCCTGTGCGGCTGTATTCAGAGAGCAGCACCTGCAGCCACACAGCCGGCGTTAGGGGCTGCACCGTGGCTGGGGGCCAGGGCTGCTGGGAGGGGAGTGGGGTCTAGTGGTGAGAGCAGGGGGCTGGGAGCCAGGACTCCTGGGTTTTCTCCCCAGCTCTGGCAAGGATTTGTGGTACGACTGGGTGCAAATCACTTGTCAGTGTCATTTCTCTGCCCCACTGGGAAGGGCCCGGATGGGGTGGGAGGCACTTTAGACTTCCCACCACAGCAGGGGGCTGCAGATGAATGAGTTGGGGGAAGCCCTTGGGGGGTTGCTGGGGGAATGGGCGCGAGTGGGGCTGGGTCCAAGACTCACTTTGCCGAAGTGCCCGCGTCCCAGCACGGCCAGGAACCTGAAGTCATCCAGCGTCAAGGGCGTCGTCCTGGGGGGCAGAGGCAGAGTGAGAACCAGGCACCGCTGCGGCTGGCAGCCGGCGTGGGGCAGGGAGGGACCTGCGCACCACAGGGCAGGGAGTCCCCTTACCCCTCCCCCAGCCCAACCCTGAGCAGGGGGGTCTGCGAATGGTGCCCCCCCTAATCCCCACCCCCTCTGGGGAGACAAGAGCCCCAGGAGGGGGAGGGGCTGCTCGCTTCACCCCTGCCCCCCCCACAATCCGACCCCCTCTGTCAGCTGGCTCTGGGCAGCGAGAGCCCCTGGTGGGGGCTGAGGGGGGCAGGGTGGGATCCTGGGGATGAGGTGACAGTCCCGCCGGGGGTCCCAAGAGAAAGACTCTGGGGTAAGGGAAGGGGTCTGTGGGGAGGAATGGGACTAACAAGTGTTCGTGTGGGGGTGGGGAGCGGGGCAGGAAGTGGGGGAGGGGTCTGGCAGTATGGAGGGGTGGGGCCAGCAAGTGCGGGAGGGGCTTGGCATGTGGCAGCTGATAACCTGGGTGGGGCCCTGTTGCCAGTCTTGCCCCTGGAGTGGTTGGGAGGCAGAAGCAGGGCTGGGGGAAGGGGTTTTCCCTCCGCTTGCCCTGGGGGCAACTTCCAGTGAGGAGCGTGAGAGGGCAGTGGCCAGGGGTCTGGGTTAGAAGCAAATGGGGCTGGGAGGGACCCTGAGGTCTCTGGGGCTGGGCTGGGCAGGCACACGCGGGGAAGATGGGGGGCAACATGGGGGCAGGGGTCCCTCACCTGTGCAGGGTGCTATTCCCAGGCCTTTGGGTGTCTCCTCCAGGCACCGGCTCCTTGTCTCCTGCTTGCGGGCTCTGGGGGGCAGACGGGGGTCAGGCAGACAGGAGCTCCCCCAGCCTCCTCACTGCCCACTGTGCCAGGCATGGTGGGGCAGCTGAGAAGGCACCACAGTCCCATGGCAGTGCTGGGTGGTGCCAGGGGTCAGCAGGGCCTAATCTTCCCCCCTGGGGTACCGAGGAGCCCAGCCATGAGGCAGGGAATCTCCATCTACAACTCCCCACTGGCGCTGCATCTCCAGGGTGCCCATCCCCATGGACTCTGGGCGCAGCTGATGGCAGGCCCCGTCAGACAGGAGGGAGCGAGAGTCGGGTCCCCAGTCGCTGGTGGCAGGGGGCCCGTTCCCTCCCCTGGGCTCTGACTGCAGGGAGCCCCTGGGTCTGGCACTGGCTCCCCGAGGGGCTGGGCGTGGGCTGCAGGGTCCCCATGTCTGGTGCTGGAGCCCAGGGTGGGTGGTTCCCCAGGTCTGGCACTGCTGCGTGGCGACGGGTGGTTCCCTGTCCCTGGCGCCGGGGACCCGGCCCATCCCTGCCATCCCCGGAAGTTGCTCTAGTGGACAGGACCAGCCCCCCATGTGACAGGGGGAGTCTTACCAGTGCGCCCCTCTCCGGTCGCTCCCCACCTTCGGCCGGCTGGCCTGGCTGCTCCTGCTGCGGCTTATCAATGTCCAGGGTCAGTTTCTCGATGGAGAAGTCTCTGCGGGGCAGGGATGGGGGTGGGGGGATTAGAGGGGAAGACCCATGGGATCCCCCCCTTAGCCCCCTCCCCCCAGATCCCCAGAGCGGATGGAGCTGGGGGACCCTGCCTGGGAGGCTGGTGGGTCTGACGACAGGAGGTAGGTGCCCCCTTGTGACACCCCCCCTTGCAAGCAGTTTGGGGGGCCCTGGCAAACCTCCTGCCCCCTTCCACAGCTGGGCGGTGAGGCACCCCCATGCTTCTGGCCGTATTTGGGCTCTCGCCCCACAGACCTGGGCCCCCCCATCACCCCACGGGAGGCAGCTTGGCCGGCCTGCCGGGGCTGTGAGGCCTGCCACTCCCCCCTCCACAGCGGGGGGCTGTCCCTGGGGGCCCGGCCCAACCCCCACAGCCCCAGGCCCCAGAGCGAGGGCAGAATAGTCCCCCCCCACCCCGGGGGCCGTGCCGGGTGCGGTGAGCTCCAGCCCCCTCCTCCACTCCTCCTGCTGCCCCAGGGACCCCCAGGGGCTCACCTGGCCAGGCTGTGGTGGCCCTCGGAGCCGGGCCCGGCGGGCATGTGGGCCGAGGGGCTGTAGGCACCGGTGGAGCTGGTGGTGGGCAGGAGGCCTCGTAGCAGCCGCACCCACGTGGCGATGTCAATGTTCATCTGGCGGGCGCGCAGGAAGGCCTTGCCTGGGGGGGGGGGTCAAAAGTCACGGTGGGACCGGTCCGCCCCCCCACCTCCAGTCACCCCCCCAGAGCTGCTTTAGGGCTGGGAATGCAGCCGAACCCGGAGCCTCAGCAGCAAGACGCTGCAGCGCCCAGTGCCCGCCCCCCGGGGTGGGGGATATGGGGTAGAGCCAAGCGTTGGCCCCCAAGGAAGGGGGAGGAGTATAGGGAGCAGAGCCCGTCCCCACAAGGAGGAATGGGGATATGGGGCAGCATCAGCCCTCAAGGGGTGGAGGGGGTTATGGGGCAGCATCAGACCCCAAGAGGGGGAAGGAAGATATGGGGCAGAGCCCAGCATAAGCCCCCAAGGAAGGGGGAGGGATATAGGGGGCAGAGCTGCCCCCATAGGGAGGAATGGGGATATGGGGCAGAGTCAGCTCCCAAGCAGGGAGGGGGGACACAGGCTGGCACCTGGTGCCCACCCATATCTCTGGGCTGGGGGTTTATGCAGGAGCCTCCTTGGGGTGCTGGGCCCTGCATTTGGGTCGTACCCCCCCCCAGACGGCACCTTGCTGCTTGGAGAAAATCTTCTTCTGCCTCTGGAGCTTGGGGATGCGCTCAATGACAGGGTCGAAGAAGGTCACCTGGGGTGGCAAGAGACTGGGATGAGGGGCTGGGCCCGGGCAGGGACGGGGAGCCCAGGACAGGGTGAGGTCAGTGCAACCTCCCCTTGAGATACTACTCTGCTCACGGGGCAATGGGGAAGCTCCCACCCCACAATGCAGTGGGGCCAGCACAGGTCCCGCCCCAGCAAGCCCATGGGGTGACTAGCTGAGTATGGAGGAGTCCAGGGGCCAAGGGGCTCCCCCCGGCCGGTGAATTTACCTTGGTGAGTGTTGGGAAGGGGACATGGCCAGTTCCCCTCACCCCGGGGTCTGTTCCCTGCTCCCCCCTCCTCCCTCGCAGGGGCCTGCTCCCTGCTTCACCCTCCTCCTCCCAGGGACCTGCAACCCCCTCTCCACTCCTCCCCGCCAGGGGCCTGCTCCCCTTCCACCATCCCGGGACTGCTCCCCACTCCTTCCCCTCAGGGGCCTGCTCCCTGCTCTCCCCCTCCTCCCCCACAGGGCCTGCTCCCCCCTCTGTCCCCCCAGGGCTTGCTCCCCATCCCTGTTATCCTGATCCCGCCCGCCGCGGGCATCACCTCAGCCAGCAGGGTGCCCTGGGGCTCCAGGTCCAGGTGGATCTCATGGCGTTGGTTATCCAGGAAATCTTCCAGCTTGAGATGCTTCAAGGCACAAAGGCTGCGGTAATCCCGCCAGTACACTGAGATCTCCAGCTCCCGCGCCTGGGGGGCAGAGTCAGGAGTGAGAGAGACCCCAGCCAGGGCTATGGGGCAGCTGGGGGTGGGGGGCAAGAAAGTGCGGAACCCCCATCCACCACCTGGTAGCTCCAGCCACAACCCCCCAAAGGAGCTGGATATTTGGGCTAAAATGTTGGAGCCATTATTAGGTTCCAGTGTAAACAGTTTCCCACTGACATGGGGCCACTTTAACCCTTTCCAGTAGCTTTTTCAGCTGTGGCTCAGCTGAGTTTTGGGACCGGGGTGGGGAGCGATTAAACTTAGTTAGAGCTGGAGTGCAGATGGGAGCTGGCTTTGCCCCGCTAAACACTTTGGGCTGGGTAAGGCCCAGTCCACACTACAAAGTGTGACAATGTTGGAAGCAGAATCAGGGCTGGGCCATGTTGGAACCAGGTGCCCTAATCCGGTTAGGAGCACAGAGTCCAGGGGGGACGGGGCAGCTGAGCACTGGAAGCTCAGTTCTGTTCACTTACCAGGACTGGATCGGCAGTGCGGGCAATGCAACAACCAGGCTGGAGGAATTGGGGGTCAGGACTCCTGGGTTCTATCCCCAGTGCTGGGAAGGGAGTGGGGTCTAATGATTAGAGCGGGGGGGGGGGGGGGGCTGAGGGCCAGGACTCCTGGGTTCTATCCCTGGCTCTGGGAGGGAAGTAGCATCTAGTGGTTAGAGCAGTGGGGAGGGGCGCTGGGGGCCAGGACTCCTGGGTTCTATTCCTGGCTCCACCTCCCTCAGAGAGGCTCATCTGAGTCAGGTGCATGGCTGCCCTTTGACCAGACCCAGCGTCCTGGAGCAGCAGGGCCCGATGTGTGCACGTCCCCCCAACACTCACCCTCTCCAGCTCCAGGGCGAAGGTCTGGTTCCAGGCCTGCTGGCCCACAGGCTTCCAGGCCGTCTGCCCCACCACAGTGTTATCCAGCTTCAGCACGGCGCTCACCTCATCTGCGGGGAGAGGCGCGCGTCACCGTGGGCCACCCCCTATCCGTCCTATCGCTGCCTCCTCGGAGCTGGGCCCTGCCAGCTGAGCATTTAGGAAGCTCCCAGCACATAGTGGGTACCACTGTAAATGCTATTATACCAGTAGCAACCAGGGGGTGCTGTTACACAGCCCGATGCTCTTTGCGTGCGAGTGAGTGTTCAGCCTCGGGAGACACGCTACGTGTTGCTGGTGGCACTGTCGTGCCCACGCTTCGCAGGGGAGCTGCTGCACGCGGCAGGGGAGTTTGGACCCAACTTGGGTCTCTCCAGCGAGAGTCAGTGCTTGGGACAGAGTCGCTTTCTGGGCATCAGGAGTCGGTGCAAGGCTGAGGTCCTGGGTTGCCCTGCATGCTACTGTGCCCACTTCTGCCCCAGGACTGGGGCAGCGACAATAAATTAGTTCCGTTGAGGGACTCCCCAGACTCTGTGTCATGATTTCTCCCCCAAGGGGAAACCACCCTGCTTTGCGCTGCGGGGAGTGTGCCCGGGTGATGCCAACGCCCCCCGAATGCCTGCCAGCTGACAACTCCTTACAACCACCATCCGCCCCCATCAACAACCATCCTCCGCCTCCAAGAGCCTAATCCATCTCCCCCTCCCTTGCCCCACACAGCACCCCCGATCCTCTCCCTCAACCCCTCTGCAGCACCCCCCCATCCCCTCCCACATACCTCTGATCCCCCTCCCCTGCAGCACAACTCCCTCCCTCGCTCCCCTCCCACTCTGCAGCAACCCGACGGGATCCCCGCCCCCATCCCCACCTGCATCCCTCCAATCCCCTCACCCAATCCCCCCGGCAGCACGGTGCCCCACCCCCGGGTGTTCCCAGCCAGGGGCTGGGTGCCCGGCTCACTCACTGCTGAAGTCATCGGATTTGAGGACGGTCCGGCCGCTCAGGCTGCCGCTGCGGCTGTAGAGCCCCCGCCCGCTGCGGTTCATGAAGTAGGGGCGCACCTCGCCGGGGTTGTTGCAGGGCAGCGAGACCGTAGCACCACGGGTCCGGCCAGGCACCGACTCCAGCAGCCCGCTGCAGCCCAGCAGCTGCACCTCCAGCATCCCTGGAGGGTTGGGGGGGGGCGGGGTTAGAGCAGTGGGCTGGGCGCCGGGACTCCTGGGTTCTATTCCCAGCCCTGGGAGGGGAGTGGGGGCTAGTGGTTAGAGCAGAGAGCAGCTGGGAGCCAGGACTCCTGGGTTCTATTCCAGCTCTCTCACTGACTTGCTGTTCCCTGGGGGGTATCCAGGGACTGGTCTCTGTGGGCGCTAGGGGGCGCTGCCCCAGAGGGCTGGTACCTTGGTGTTTGCCCCAGTGGGACTGTTGCCAGGGGGCCCAGGGGTACCTGTGAGGGGCGAGGGCTTGCAGAGCGTGCTGTACTGGTTGTGCTGGTAGGGGGTGCTGTTGCGGGCGCTGAAGGCGGACGAGGAGGCCATGATCAGCTCCTCCTTGACGATGCAGCCCTTGGGGTGCTCCTCGGGCAGCTCCCCCACACGCCGCTCCAGCGCCAGGCGCAGCAGGTCCAGCTTCTGGCTCGACTCGGTCAGCTTCGCCTGGGCCTGCAAGGGGCACAGCGTGGGCATGGCCCCCGAGACCCCCCGTGCCCCCACATGCACTGACCCTGCCCCCCATGGCCCTCCATGTACCCTGGCCCTGCGCCCACAGATAAACCCCAGCCCTGTGCACCAAACCACCCCCGATACCCCCGCTCTCCCCGACAGCCACCTCTGAATGCTGCCCTGGGACCCCTGTCCTCCTCGATGGCCTGTGGAGGGGAGGTTGGGGGGGCAGTACCTCAGCGATGGCCTTGTGGGGGGGGAGTTAACGAGGGGCCGGGGGAGGTCAAGGGGGGGTTGGGGGGCAGTACCTCAGTGATGGCCTTGCGTGGGGGGTTAAAGGGAGGTCAGGAGGGCAGTACCTCAGCGATGGCCTTGCAGGGGGGTTAACGAGAGGCTGGGGGGGGGCAGTACTTCAGCCATGGCCTTGCGGGGAGGGGGCTTAACGAGAGGCCGGGGGGGCAGTACCTCAGCCATGGTCTTGCGAGGGGAGTTAACGGGAGGCCAGGGGGGCAATACCTCAGCCATGGCCTTGCGGGGGGGGGGTTAACGAGAGGCCGGGGGGCAGTACCTCAGTTATGGCCTTGCGGGGGGGGGGGGGGGGGGTTAACGAGAGGCCGGGGGGGCAGTACCTCAGTTATGGCCTTGCGGGGGGGGTTAACGAGAGTCCGGGGGGGCAGTACCTCAGCCATGGCCTTGCGGGGGTGGGGGGGGTTAACGAGAGGCCGGGGGGGCAGTACCTCAGCCATGGCCTTGCGGGGGGGTTAACGGGAGGCTGGGCGGGGGCAATACCTCAGCCATGGCCTTGGGGGGGGGGTTAACGGGAGGCTGGGCGGGGGCAATACCTCAGCCATGGCCTTGAGGGGGGGGTTAACGGGAGGCTGGGGGGGGCAATACCTCAGCCATGGCCTTGCAGGGGGTTAACGAGAGGCCGGGGGGGTAGTACCTCAGCCATGGCCTTGCGGGGGGGGTGGGGGGGTTAACGGGAGGCTGGGGAGGGGCAATACCTCAGCCATGGCCTTGCAGGGGGGTTAACGAGAGGCCGGGGGGGCAGTACCTCAGCCATGGCCTTGCGGGGAGGGGGGCTTAACGAGAGGCTGGGGGGGGCAGTACCTCAGCCATGGTCTTGCGAGGGGGTTAACGAGAGGCCGGGGGGCAATACCTCAGCCATAGCCTTGCGGGGGGGTTAACGGGAGGCTGGGGGGGGCAATACCTCAGACATGGCCTTGCAGGGGGTGGGGGTGTTAACGAGAGGCCGGGGGGGCAGTACCTCAGCCACGGCCTTGCGGGGGCGGGGGGGGTTAACGAGAGGCCGGGGGGGCAATACCTCAGCCATGGCCTTGCGGGGGATGGGGGGGTTAACGAGAGGCCGGGGGGGCAATACCTCAGCCATGGCCTTGCGGGGAGGGGGTTAACGAGAGGCCGGGGGGCAATACCTCAGCCATGGCCTTGCGGGGGGGGGGGGGGCGTTAACGAGAGGCCGGGGGGGGCAATACCTCAGCCATGGCCTTGTGGGGGGCGGGGGGTTAACGAGAGGCCGGGGGGGCAATACCTCAGCCATGGCCTTGCGGGGGGCGGGGGGGGGCAATACCTCAGCCATGGCCTTGCGGGGGTGGGGGGGGTTAACGAGAGGCCGGGGGGCAATACCTCAGCCATGGCCTTGCGGGGGCGGGGGGTTAACGAGAGGCCGGGGGGGCAGTACCTCAGCCATGGCCTTGCGGGGGGGGGGGGGTTAACGAGAGGCCGGGGGGGCAATACCTCAGCCATGGCCTTGCGGGGGGCGGGGGGGGGTTAACGAGAGGCCGGGGGGGCAGTACCTCAGCCATGGCCTTGCGGGGGGGCGGGGGGTTAACGAGAGGCCGGGGGGGCAATACCTCAGCCATGGCCTTGCGGGGGGCGGGGGGGGGCAGTACCTCAGCCATGGCCTTGCGGGGGGCGGGGGGGGTTAACGAGAGGCCGGGGGGGGCAGTACCTCAGCCATGGCCTTGCGGGGGCGGGGGGGTTAACGAGAGGCCGGGGGGCAGTACCTCAGCCATGGCCTTGCGGGGGCGGGGGGGTTAACGAGAGGCCGGGGGGGGGCAGTACCTCAGCCATGGCCTTGCGGTCCGGCGTCCGGGCAGAGCCCAGCAGCCGCTGCACGTTCTTGGCCCCCTCGGACACAGCGTGCTCCACGCGGAAATGGTGGCGCAGCTCCTCGATGCGCAGCTCCGTGCAGGTCAGGTCCAGGTTCCCTGCGGGGCGACAGCGCGGGCTCAGACCCGGCTGGGGTGGGGCAGACCCAGAGGCCCTGCCTCTGCGGCCACCGAGCCGTGGGCAGGACTCCTGGGTTCTCTGCAGGCCGCGGAGAGGGAGCTGAGTTTCACGGCCCCACGCCCCACCCCGGAGGGGGCTGCATCTGAGCACTGGGAGAGGGGTCCCTGTATAACCTGCCTCCGGGCCCCACCCCAGAGGTGGCTGCACATCTAGGAGCTGGGGCGCATCCCAGTGTCCCGTCCCACGAACCCCGGCCAATTCCTCTCCGTGTGCCTCAGCTCCGCGGGGCTGACCGGTGAGCACCAGGCTAGGAAAGGGGGGGGGGAGCTCTGGAGAGAAGGGAAGGCCTCCCCAGGTTGCCTCCTTCCCCGCCCACCCTGCGTAGCACGAGAGCACCCCCTCCCGCGCTGTGCCTGTCCCATGGGCCTGGCTGTAGCCAAAGCTGCCAGGATTCCCTCCCGCTGAGCAGCGTTGTCGGGAGTGGGGGGGGGGGGGGGCGGCCTGCAGGCCTGCGGTGATGGTCCAGCTAGTGTGTGGAGGGACCTGGGCCCAGCCCAGCTCTGGGTACAAGCAGCAGCGGGGGGCTGCCAGGATGACGGGTGCTTGGATCAGTAAAATGCCCGGGCGCAGAGCTGCCAGGAGAGGGGCGTTGGCAGAACCGGCTGGGATTTGGTGCAGGGAGAGGGATTGAGCCAGTGTTATGTGGGGTGTGGAGGGGAGCCCAGCTGGGCTACCTGGGTGCTGGGGGAACCCTGACCAGGGGGACCCACTGTTGGGGGGATCCCTGCCCCCCACCCTGTGGCTGGGCCATGGGACACCAGGGGGGCGGCTTTGCTGGATAAACACGTCCCAAGTTGACATGGCTCCAGGATCTGCCCGCCAGGCCCCACCCCTGGACCCATGGGAGAGCAGCCCCACAGCAGTGTTGTGAGCAGGGCCGTGGGGGGCAGAGGATTGTGGGTGTTCGGACAGGGTGAGTATCTACAGCAGGAGCTTACGGACACTGCCCCGGCTCCCCCACCCTGCTGTCCACTCCTTGCCCCTCCTTGTCTACCTCCCTGCACTGCCCCATGGCTCCCCTCCTATTTCCCCTCCCCCCACTGCCCCTCTCACCTTGCCCATCCTCGCCGTCGGGCGGCATCGCGTCGGCCTGCGCGGCTCTGCGGATCTGCATGCGGATGATGTTGATCTTGGTCTTGCTATCTTGCAACATCTGCTGGGCTGTCTGCAGCAGCTTCCGGTCCTGGGGGGCAGACAGGAGGGTTGAGGGGGGCTGCTGAGCCCAGAGCTGTCTGGGGAGTGCCCTCCCACCCCCACACCCCCTGAGTCCAACCCCCATATCAAGGGCGGCTTCCTGTCCCAACTACATCTCCTCCTTCCATGCCTGTTTTTTCCGGGCTGGAGGCCTCTCTGGGCATTTGGTCCCAGAGCCTCCAGGGCAGGGGAAGGGGGATCTGGGGGGCGGGGAGTGAAGGGGGCAGGCAGAGGTGGAGGAGGGTGTGGGGGGCGGGGAGCAGTTGGAGAGGCAAAGGGAGTGGGGCAAGTGGGGGGTGGGAGTTGGGGGGGCGAGGGGGCTGGGATGGGGGAGGAGCTTGGGGGGTGGAGAGGCAGGAGGGAGGGAGGGAGGAAGCGGTGGGAGGAGGTGGATTGGGGGGCCAGGTGCGGAAAGGCAGGGGGAGGGGAGAAGTTGGGAGACAGGGACAGCGGGGTGAGGGGGTTGTGGTGGAGAGGTGGGGGCAATGGAGGTTGGGGGGCAGGGTGGGGGTTGGGGGTAGAGGCTGGGCAGGGTGGAATAGGAGGCAGGTGGGGGAGGGGGCAGGGGGCGGGACCCCTCACCTTGGTGGAGCCATTGGCGTACATCTGGATCATGTTCTCTGCTCCCTGCTTCACCTTCAGCTCAATGTTCAGCTGCTTCTCCAGCCCGGCCAGGCGGTGCTTGTTGGCGGCCGAGCGGCTCAGGCTGTTGGGCGACTGGGGGGCATCTGCAAGCGGGGACGGGGAAGGGTCAGCAGTGCCCGGCAGGGGCTGGCCCTGCCCCTCCAGCACCCAGGAGCCCAGGGCGGGGCTAGCAGGGGTGCTACGGGTCAGGAGTGAGGGGCACTGGCAGAGCCAAGGTGCCTAATCCCTGCTTGGGGGGTGGGGGGTCGTGCCCCCTGGATGGGGCGGGCTGGGTGAGGAGGGGGAAGGGCACTCTCACCGGCTTGCCCCCATCTCTGCTGGCAGGTCCCTCACTGGGGCTGTTCTGGCCCTCCCACACCTGCCCCATTCCCAGGCTCACATGGGTTAACAAGAGCATCTATCCCGGCCCACCCCCAAACGGGGTCCACACCCTGGGAGAAGGACAAAGTCATCGCGTGACAGCTTTCTCTGGACTCCACAGCTCTGCCGGTGCCCCGAAATCCTGACTGGCAGCTCCCGGTTACCCCAGCCCTGGGCTCCCCACACATAGGCTATCTGTGGGATCTGGTGTGGGGAGGGAAGCCCCAGTATCTGGCTCTTGTGGGAGAGTTGCTGGGAGCTGAGACAGGAGGTTTCTCTCCTTCACTTGGCTCAATGCACCTAAACATCTCATTGAGCAGAGAGGGTCAAATACCCCCTGTGCAAGGGCTGACCCCTGCCACACCCCACCCCACCCCAGAGGCGGCTGCATTGTTGCGCCAGGCAGGGAGTCATAGAATCACAGAAATGTCGGGCTTGAAGGGCCCTCGAGAGGTCACCTAGTCCAGCCCCCTGCACTGAGGCAGGGCCAAGTAACCCCAGCCCGTCCCTGGGTTGGTCCAACCTGTTCTTACAAACCTCCAATAATGGGGACACCACAACTGGCCTTGGTCGCCTGTTCCAGAGTTGAACTCCCCTTGGAGTTAGAAAGTTTTGCCTAATATCCAACCGAAATCTCCCTTGCTGCAGATTAAGCCCATTGCTGGAGACATGGAAAAACACTGATCCCCATCCTCTTTGTAACAGCCCTTAGCGTATTTGAAGACTGTTCTCAGGTCCCCCTCAGTCGTTTTTCTCACACAAACATGTCCAGGTTTGAACCTTTCCTCACAGATCCGGTTTGCTAAACCTCTGATCATGTTTGTGGCTCTCCTCTGGCCTCTCTCCAACCTGTCCACATCTTCCCTAAAGCTCGGCGCCCAGAACTGGACACGGGACTCCAGCTGAGGCCTCCCCAGTGCCGAGCAGAGTGGGGCAGTCACCTCCCGTGTCTTACGTACGACACTCCTGTTAATCCTACACCCCAGAATGAGATCAGCCGTTTTCACAGCCGTCTCGCACTGTTGACTCATATTCGATCTGTGCTCCGCTAGAACCCCTGCTCCTTTCCAGCACTACGACTGCCTTGCCAGGTATTCCCCGTTTTCTGGTTGTGCCGTCGATTTTTCCTTCCTGAATGAAGTACTTTGCACTTGTCTTTACCTCATTTCATCTTGTTGATTTCAGGCCAATTCTCCAGTGTGTCACGGTTGCTTTGAATTACAATCCTGGCCTCCACAATGCGAGCAGCCCTTCCCAGTCTGCTGTCAGCCGCAAGCTTTATCAGCACACTCTGCACTCCATTACTGAATTCATTAATGAGAATATTGACTAGAGCCGGGCCCAGGACCGACCCCTGCGGGACCTGCTCGACATGCCCTCCCAGGCTGACTGCGAACCATTGAGAGCTGCTCTTTGAGTAGGGTATTTCAATCAGCTAGGCACCCACCTCATAGTATTTTTATCTAGACCACATTTCCCTCGTTTGCGTATGAGAATGTCATGAATGTGACAAAAGCCTCACTAAAATCAAACCATATCATATCTGCTGCTTCCCCCTATCCACTTGGCCAGTAACCCTGACAGAGAAGGAAAATTATGCTGGTTTGATAAATCCATGCTGATTATTCCTCTTCCCCCTACTGAGCTCGAACTGCTTACAAACTGACTGGTTAATAATTTGTTCCAGTGTCTTTCCAGCTATCCAGCTCAGGCTGTTCAGGTTCTCTGTTCCCCTTTTAAAAGACGGGTACACACTCTGTATGATTATATGAAAATATGCTAATGAGTAGGAATATAATGTAAATGGGATATGCTTCATGCAAAAGGTCTCTTGTGAGGTATCATTACAAAGCTTACAATCTACCAAGTGTGGGCATCCTATTTGTATAAATGTATCACTCTTGTATCTGAAACTAGAAATATGAACTATAACTCTAAGGGCCTATTGTAATTATGCAAAGTGTGGACCATTAACGGTGGTTGATGGCTCCCATCAGCCAGGACAATTGACTGTGGATGGCTCTGTTTGCAGGCAGGCCTTCCTGTGAGTCAGGCCGGGAGGAATGAAGGCGTGGCGTCTCACAGGAAATGTGACCATGTCACCTGGTACTGGAATCCATCTTAAACCTGGTGCTTTTCCAGTTGGGGGGGCACCCAGAGAGACAAAGGATTTCCGCCTTGTGCCAAAACCATGTAAGTGGGTGGAACAGAACAAAGGGGGTGGCCATCATGAGGAGCCACCTGAGCTGGAACAAGAGCTGTACCAGGGGAAAGGATTGTCCCCAGACTAGGAAGGTGTCCAGCCTGTGAAAGAAACTTATTGAAACATCTCTAAGGGTGAGATTTTACCAGTAGTCAGTTGTATTACTGTATTAGGTTTAGATTTGCATGTTTTATTTTATTTTACTTGGTAATTCACTTTGTTCTGTCTGTTACTACTTGGAACCACTTAAATCCTATTTTCTGTATTTAATAAAATCACTTTTTACTTATTAATTAACCCAGAGTATGTATTAATACTTGCGGGGGGCAAACAGCTGGGCATATGTCTCTATCAGTGCTATAGAGGGCGAACAATTTATGAGTAAAATGGATTTATTTGGGGTTTGGACTCCATTGGGAGTTGGGCATCTGAGTGCTGAAGACAGGAACACTTCTGTAAGCTGCTTTCAGTTAAGCCCACAGCTGTTAGGGGACACGGTTCAGATCTGGGTCTGGGTTTGCAGCAGGCTAGCGCGTCTGGCTCAAACCAGGCAGGGCACTGAAATCCTAAGCTGCCAGGGCAGGAAAGCAGGGGCAGAAGTAGTCTTGACACATCAGGTGGCAGCTCCCAAGGGGGTTTCTGTGATCCAACCCGTCACACTATGTTTGCCCTTCTCCCTCCTCTGGGACCTCACCTGCCCTCCAGGAGTTCTCAGAGATAATTGCTAATGGCGGTGTGATTGCGTCTGCTAGTTCCTTAAATAGGACGAATTGCATTGGGCCCTGCCGACTTGAATACACCTAACTTATCGAAATATTCTTTAACCTGATCATTCCCTAGATTGGCTTGTGTTCCTTCCCCCGGTTGTTAATATTAATTGTGCTGAGTATCTGCTCTCCATTAACCATTAACCTGAAGACTGAAGCAAAACAGGCTTTAAACGCCTTTCTTGAGGCCATTGGTTGTTTGCTCTCCTTCTCCGCTAAACAGAGGACCTGCGCTTTCCTTCCTCCTTCTCTTGCTCTGAATGGATTTAAAGGATCTCTTCTTACTGCTGTTTACGTCCCTTGCTAGGTGTAACTCATTTTGCACCTTAGCCTCCCTGATGTGGTCCCTACAAGCTTGTGCTGTTCTTTTGTTCTCCTCCTGAGCAATCTGTCCCTGGTCCCATTTCTCCTTTTAGAGTCTCAAGTCATTAGAGAGTCCCTGACGGAGCCATCCTGGCCTCTCCCTATTCTGTCTCTCTTGCCGTCACCTCGGGATGGTTTGCAATTGTGCCTTTAGCACTGGCTGTTTGACAAACTGCTCGTCTCCTTCATCCTGGAGATTTTCTCCTGGTTGCCATTATCCTGCTGCTCTCTTTCCTCAGAGTCCTGAAATCGGTCATTTCCCAATCGCTTGCACCCAAATCGCCTTCAGATGCAAACCCAGTTTGGTCAGAATCCCGGGCTGCCCACCCTCCACTCCTCCGTCACTCCTCCGCTTCGTGGAACAAACAGCCGGTTATCAGCACATCCCAAGAGTTGACTGGAAATTCTGGGCTTTGCAAGGTGACGTCCCCATTCCGACCAGGGCACGTGTTTGGATAGTTCTGTTATTCCTTCGAGAAATGCCTCTGCCCCCTGGTTGGGTGGTTTAAAGGAGACCCCCACAGGACAGCGCCCCCCCCACACTTTTACCTTTACCCAGAAACTCTCAACTGGTCTGACTGCCGCCTCCTGCTGGCCCTCACAGCTAGCCAATGTATTGTTGTATAATGCACCAGCTTCCTTTCCCCCCCGCCTGGCCTTCCCGAACAAGCTCTGCCCCTGTCCCCTTGTCCCAGTCACAAGACTTATCCCGCCCCGTCTCCCTGAGGCTGATTAAGTCATAATGAAGCAGATGGACTTTCTCGGGATGGGGGGGGCACTCGGGGCTGCTGGGCTGGGAGGGGCTGCGGCAGGCGCCAGATCATTTGTTTTTCTAGCTCAGTAGAGGAAGCAGCCATGTCGCTTCCTGCCTCGGACCCCCCAGCTCGCGCCGCGATTCGCTGCTGGGGCAGGTGGCATCTGGCAGCTTCCTGTTTTGAAATCCCAGTCGTTGGTACAGCCCTGGCACCGCACAGGGGCCTGGCGCTCAGGGAGCTCAGGTCAGACACCGAGGGGGGTCAATTCCCAGCTGGATGGGGAGGAGGGAGCTAGTGAAAATGCTCCGGGGGGGGGGGGGGAGAGCTGTGGCTGTGACCCACAGGGTCTGCACTGCCCCCTAACCCTCCTTGGGGCCTTCTCAGCAATGCAGCCTGGATCCCCATGGCAGAGCAGTTCTATGGGCCCATCTACCCCGGTATCCCGTCTCTGACGGTGGAGGCTGCCAGCTACCCTAGAGGCAGGCAAATCCCCACGGGGATGGGGGAATCCACTCCCAGGGCCGAGCCCTCCTGCCCCCGACAGCTGGAGAGCTGTACAAAGACCTGTCCCACCCCAGAGGTGGCTGCATCTTGGCACAAGTGCTAATACAATGACACCACACCACATGGTGGGGGTGGGGGCTCTCTGACAATCCTGCAGGTGTCCCGAGGCCTCCATTCCAGCCCCAGACACCCGACAAACCCCCCAGCCTGTTTGAATCCTGCCGAACTCTTGGCCTCACCGAGACCTAGCGGTGGGCAGTTCTGCCGGCCAGTGCTGCTTGGAGATGGAGACTCCCCTGGGTTCTGTTCAGCATTTGCTGCCTCGTGGTTCCCTTCCCTGCTTCTTGCGTCACATCTCAGGATGAAGAGTAGTGCCCAGCCCCCTGATGAACCCCAGCCACTACTGGGGGTCTGCCTGTCCCAGCCCCTTGCACCTGCCTCCTCTCCAGGACAGATAGCCCTGAGCTAGCAGCATCCCAAGCCCTCCTAGCACTCAGCCGCACGGCTGAGCCCCCTGGCATTGACCCCTGCTCCTTGCCCCCCCCGTGTCCTCCAGCAATGACCCCTGCTCCCTGCCCCCCGGTGACCCCCCAGTGACCCCTGCATGACTCCCAGCGCCCTGCCATGCCCCTGCCCCCTGACCTCCGCTCTCCTCAGGCTCCTTGACCATGATGTGGGCGTCCAGGTGCTGCAGCCGGCAGTGCAGCTGGTGCAGTTTGCGGTCGGAGCCGCGCAGCAGGCTCTCCACGCTGGCCAGGTTACGGCGGTCGGTGGTGGCCCGGCGCAGGTTCTCCGCCCCCTCCTTGATCTTCAGCTCCTTGCGGATCTCGCGCCGGATCCGGTCCTTCTCCTCGTCCAGGCGCTGCTGGACGCTGCTGGCCGCCAGGTCGGGGCTGGGATCGAGCGCCAGCTGCTCCAGGACCGACCAGCTCTGCTCGCCCTGCGGGGGAGAGCGCGGGTGAGGGGCTTGCAGCGCCCGGCCCTGCCCCACCTCCATGGCTGCCCCCCGACAGCCCCCTTCCTGCTGCCCACCACCAGAACTGCCCCCCGACAGTCCCCCAACCCGACAGCCCCTTCCCTGGGCCTCCACCTCCACGGCTGCCCCCCGACAGCCCCTCCCTGCCGCTCACCTCCACGGCTACCCCCCAACAGATCCCCCGCCCTGACAGCCCCTCCCTGCCGCCCACCTCCACGGCTGCCCCCCGACAGCCCCCTCCCTGCCCCCCACCTCCACAACTGCCCCCCGACAGTCCCCCAACCCCTGACAGCCCCTTCCCTGGGCCTCCACCTCCACGGCTGCCCCCCGACAGCCCCTCCCTGCCGCCCACCTCCACAACTGCCCCCCGACAGCCCCCTCCCTGCCCCCCGACAGCCCCCTTCCTGCTGCCCACCACCAGAACTGCCCCCCAACAGTCCCCCAACCCCTGACAGCCCCTTCCCTGGGCCTCCACCTCCACGGCTGCCCCCCGACAGCCCCCTTCCTGCTGCCCACCTCCACAGCTACTCCCCGACAGACCCCCACCCCCTGACAGCCCCCTCCCTGCCGCCCACCTCCACGACTGCACTCTGACAGACCCCAACCCCCTGACAGCTCCCTCTCCCTGCTGCCCACCTCCACGGCTACCCTCCGACAGACCCCCACCCCCTGACCGCCCCCTCCCTGCCGCCCACCTCCACGACTGCACTCTGACAGACCCCAACCCCCTGACAGCTCCCTCTCCCTGCTCCCCACCTCCACAACTGCCCCCCGACAGTCCCCCACCCCCTGGCAGCCCCTTCCCTGGGCCCCCACCTCCATGACTGCACCCCAATAGCCCTCTCCCTGCTGCCCACCTCCACGACTGCACCCCCAACAGCCCCCCACCTGGCCCCCCCACCTCCACAACTGCTCCAACTTCCTCCCACCCACCTCCACTGCTGCCCCCCAACAACCCCCTCCCTACTTCCCACTTCTACGGCTTCTCTGCAACAGCCTCTATGCCGACAGCCCCCTCCCTGCCACCTGCCTCCAACCCCTGACACCCTCCGCCCCCCACCTGCCCCTCTAGACTCCTGCATGTGCTGGCCCAACAGCCCCTCAATTCCCCCTGTGCTCACGGCCTCCCCCGCCCCATCCCAGCCCTTTGTACCGAGCTCAGTCGGGGTCTGGGCAGCGCCTGGCACTACCGGGGACCTGATCTCTGTTGGGGTCTGGGCAGTGCCCGGCACATGACCAGGGAGCAGGGGTGATCCTAGTTGGGGCCTGTAGGCCCTACTATAATATGGACAATACCAGCTCATCTCTGGGCACAGAGACAGCTGGGCGAGGGTCTCTGGGGAGGGGTCAGGCGGGGGGGTCCTCTGGAAATCTGTGTCCAGGATGCTCCCAGACAGCCCAGCCGGCTCCCGGCCCCACTGCCAGGGCGCTGGCGGCTGGTTTTCCCATTGCCAGTGGGATTTCCACCCCTCCGCGCCCCCTGGGCACTCAGTAATCAGCCCTGGCACTGCAGCCCCCCACCCCCCGGGACGTGGCAGAGCCGAGGGGAGAGGCTCCTTTGTTAACAACGCACCACCCCGGAGCCGCCATGGCCTCTTGGGGGAGCAGTGGGGGGACGGCTGGCTAGAAGATGGCGGCGTGGGGGCCTAGATGGGGGCGGAACCCCGTCCCTTCCTCCCGCGGCCGATTGCAGGCAGCTGGCGCAGTAGCAGCAGCGATGGCCGGGAAGGAAATGCACCGTGCCCCCTGCATGGTGCCACCCAAGTACCAGCCCCACCCTGGTTCCCATCCCCCACCAGGCCCACACCGTGCCCTGCCTTGCAGAGCCATATTTTATTTTATGGGGTGGGGGTTGGCTGATTCCCCTCCCCTCAGGGGGCCCCCCACAGCCCCTTTGCCACCCTCCCCGTGTCCATTGTGCCAGGGCAGCGGGACGGGGGCAATTCATGCCCCCCTGGGGCTCCCATCCTGCTGGGTACCTCCAGATCGTGCTCAGAGCAGGAGTCTGACTCGGAGAACGACATCCTGGCCCTGGGGGGGATCCAGGCCAGGACCCCCGTCCGTCCTTGGGTCTGTGCGCTGGGCCACACCCGCCCTCCTGCCGCTCGGAATCTATCACTCCCCCCCTCCCCCCCCGTCACAAAACCACTTCCCCTTCCCGCATCTCAGCACTGCCTCCAGCCACCCCGAGCACCGCGGGATCCGCCCCCCCCCCCAGGCCTGGGCCCAAAGGGGTAACGGGGGAGGGGGAGACTCCCACAGGTGCAGCCCCCCAAAGCCAGGCTCGGAGCTTGAGGCTGACCCCCAAATGCCCCCAGGGAGAACCCACTGAGCTCTCGCCCCCAGGGACCAAACGGCCCAACCCCACGCCCCTCCAGAAGCTCCCCGGACTATGCCTTGAGTGGCTGCAAACTGCACCCCCCAGGCAATGCTCCCCCGAACATGCTGTCCCCAACTCTGCACACGGGGGCCCTTGACACTGGCCAAGCTCCCCCTAGAAACACCCCAAGGCAGAGCCCTCTGGGTCCCAAAACTGGGATGATCATCCAGAGATCCCAGCTAAACAGCCCCCGTGTCCCACCCCAGAGGTGGCTGCATCTCAACACCGAGTGAGGGATCCCTGTATAGACAGCCCCATGTCCCACCCCAGAGGCGGCTGGGGGGGTGCACTCTCCCTTCACCCTGATTAACTCTGTACTAGAGACCCACTAGCCCTGCACAGGCCCCGGGCAGCCAGCTTCCTCCTGTCCACCGACTCAGAGCGGGGATGGGACCCAGAGCATGGGGGGGGGGGGGGGGGGCGGCTCCTTTCCCTTTTCTGGCTCTCTGCGAGCAGCTGTCGAGGTGGCTGCTCCCCACGTGCCCCCCGAGCCGTTGAACAGGCGTGGGGGGGGGGGTCAGATTGGGTAACTCGGCAGATCAGTGCAGCCAGGCTAGGCCTGGTGCCCACCCCAGCTGGCCGCACCTTGCTGCACAAGAGCCCGGCTGCCCTGTCCCCACCCCGGAGCTACAGACGGGCCCCAGTGCGACACAGGCTCAGCACTGGGCAGGAACACAGGACACCTGGGTTCCATCCCCGGCTCTGCTGGGTGACTTGAACCCCTCCCCCCTCATTCCCTGCAGCACAGCGCCCCCTAGTGCCACCCCCTATTGAGCACCCCACCCCACAGCACCCCCTAGTGCCACGTGGGGACATTGGGGCCAGCACAGACTGGAAGGCGAGAAAGCATCCCCTGCTGAACCCCCACCCTGCAGCGCCCCCTCGTGTCATAGGGGGGCCAACAGACTCGACTGGAGAGAGCCTCTCCCTAACCATTGGTTTGAGGTCTCCCATCCAGCGCTGGACCCAGGCCAAAGCTGCTTAGCCAAGGCCAGGCCAGGTCCCGGCACACGGCCCAAACAGCTGCAGCAGTCCCTGTTACTGCGGAGACTCAGCACCAGTCAAGTGGGGGCGGGGGCCCTTCTGTCCCGGGGACTGGCCCCAGTTGCAACCCCCACACACTAGCTGACAAAGCCGGGGTCTGCCCCGAGGCAAGGGGCCAGCTGCACGGGTGCAAACAGCAGCTCTTCCTCTCTGCACCCGGGGTCTGCATGGCGGGGGGTGAGGGGGTCACCATGTGAGACGAATCCCAGCACAGACCAGGCTGCAGTGAGTCACAGGAAGAGGCTGGAGTCTCTCTCAAATCCCGGCAGCTCCTGGAAAGGCCAGCAGGCCCGGGGCCAGCAGCCTGTACCGGGGCCAGCCCCTGGCTGTCAGGGGTGAGCGGGAGCAAGAGGCCACCCCCCTCTGCGCTGCTCCATCACTGCGCAAGGGGAAGGGGATGGAACTCCCTGGGAACGGCACCCGAGTGTCCCAGGGCGCTGGCTGGGCAGCTCCACCCAGCGCTGGCATGTGGCCAGATCACAGGGTCAGTGCCTCGTCAGGAGATCTCCGGCTGCAGGAAACGAGAGCGGCTGACTCACTCGAGCTCCCCAGCAGGCAGTGCTGGCTTGGTGCAGAGCTAGGGGGTGCTGTCCTGCAGGGAGCAGGGGGGCTCAGCAGGGGGCGCTCTCCCCTGCAGTCAATGCTAGCTCCAGAGCAGCGCTAGGGGGCGCTGTGCTGCAGGAAGCAGGGTGGGGGTCTCAGCAAGAGCGCTCTTCCCTCGCAGTCAGTGCTGACCCCAATGCCATGCTAGGGGAGAAATACATCCCTCGGCTTGCAGCAGGGAATCCCCCAGCCCCCGGGTCCTGCTTGGCTGCTTGGCTCCCTCCCCCTCGCTGGGCTTGGCCAGGGAATGGGGAGCCAAGCCCCCAAGATGAGAGCTCGCTCTGGGAGTTCAGGCTACGATCTCCGGGACGGACAGAGGCCGGCTCAGCCCGTGACCGGAGTGACGCAGCCCTTTAAAAGGAGTGAAAAAACGAGCTACTGGCTAGGAGGACCCGTCCCTGTCCTTGGCTGGCTGGATCCCCGGCCCCATGCCCGGAGCGGCTGGCAGGAAACCCGGCAGCCTGGTGATCTGGTTCCCTTCAGCAGACACCTCGTCCTTCGAGAAGCCCACCCAGCGCATCTTCTCCAGCCATCAGCTGCCCAATGCACCTTCCACCCTAACTCCCCCCATCGGCCCCTGGTCTGCTAGTCACAGCGCTGGGGGGTTTCCCGAGGGAGCTGCGAGGCCGAGGGTCGGGAATATCCAGAGTGATTCTACAATAGCAGCCAACATGGAGCTGACAGCACCGCCTGGCTCGGATTCAAAAGGAGGGATAACTCAGTGGGGAGAGGGATAACTCAGTGGTTTGAGCACTGGCCTGCTAAACCCAGGGTTGTGAGTTCAATCCTTGAGAGGGCCATTTAGGGATCTGGGGCAAAAATTGGGGATTGGTCCTCCTTTGAGCAGGGGGTTGGACTAGATGATCTCCTGAGGTCCCTTCCAACCCTGATATTCCATGATTCTAATTGCTCCTGAGAAGCAGGGAACTCAATAGGGAGGGCCCCGGGCTCCAGTCCCGGCTCTGCCGCTGGGTGACCTGGGGCAAGTCACTGCCTCTCCGTGCCTCAGTTTCCCCATCAGAACAATGGTGAGAATGATACAGACCTTGCTTCCTGCCGGCAGAGTTGATAACTGGCTCACATCTGGGCAGTGCTAACGCACTGGGGAAGGGTTAAGTGTTGTCACCCCCTCCGCTGAGCTGCAGCAGGGGGCCGGGCCCTACAGGGAGGTTTCCTCTTGGGGGAGGAATCGATGGTGCAGTGCCTGGGGAGTCCCTCAGTTCAACTAGTTTATTGTCCCTGCCCCAGTCCTGGGGCAGAGGTGGGCACAACAGCATGCAGGGCAACCGTGGATCTCAGCCCTGCACCCACGTCTGGTGCCCAGGGAGTGACTCTGCCCCAAGCACTGGCTCTCGCTGGGGAGACCCAGGCTGGGAGCAAACTCCCTTGCTGCTTGCAGCAGCTCCCCTACGAAGCGTGGGCAGGTCAATGCCACCAGCAGCAAGTCTACAGAGACTGAACACTCGCTCGCACACGAAGAGCATGTCAGGCTGTGTAACAGCGCCCCCTGGTGATGCCGGCATAACCATGCTCCAATTGCAAACCCTCACCCATGTCCACAGACCCTGCTCACGCCCAGCAGCCATCAACGGGGTGACCCGTTTGCTATTTCAGATTTTAGAGCTTGCCCCACCAATGTGACATCTTGACCCCATGGCTCCTTTCCCCACCCCCGCTGGCGCCTTTAACGTTATTTAAAGAAACAGTACAGCTAATCTGGCTTCACACCCAGCATCCTGGCTTGCCCAGCTCACACCAGAACTGGCTTCTCCAAAGCCCACAAGCACCCAGTGCCCTGCTTACTCTGGAGCTCGACCCCCAGCCGGTGCCCACTCGCCCCGGCTGCGCTGCTGCCCACGTCACTGGGCCTCTCGCTGCTGAGGATCCAGCCTGGAAACTGCACTTGGAAGGCCCCAGCCGGACACGCCAAGTGTCACGAAGTGTGCGGGAGTCCGGGCCCTGCACCCCTCTTCCTGGGATTCACCGTGACTCTCAGCCAGCCAGTAAAACAGAAGGTTTATTGGACAATAGGAACACAGTCCAAAACAGAGCTTGTGGGTACAACCAGGACCCCTCAGTCAAGTCCTTCTGGGGGGGAGGGAGCTTAGACCCCAGCCCTGGGGTTCCCTGCGTTCCACCACCCAGTCCCAAACTGAAACCAAACCCCGCCACCCCCCCAGCTGGCTCTCTCCTGCAGCCTTTGTCCAGTTTCCCGGGCAGAGGTGTTACCTCCCCCTTCCCCGTCCTGGCTCAGGGGACAGGCTCTCAGGTCTCCCATCCCCAATGAAACTCCCCTGCCACAGTCCCAGGTCAACACTCCCCCGTCCCTGCTGCGTCACACCAAGCACCAAGCCCAGACCCCTGCAGGGACACCCCGCTGGTCAACCTTCCCTCGGCAGCTGCGGCTCCAGGGGGATTGTCAGGGCTGGGATCTGGGTTTGAACCCCCGTCCTCCCCCCAATCTCCCGGGGGTGGGGGGCAGCTGTCCCCTGCCCGCATGGTGCCTGCCCCCTCCTTTGCAGCAGCTGCTGCTGCCAGGAGACCCAGCTAGATGGGCCCCCAGCTCAGCAGGACCGGGGTCCCCCACACAGTTAGGGACGTGCCTGCCCCCAAGGCAGTAGCTGTTACTGTCTTACAGGCCACGAGGGCTGAGACAGGGGGAATGGAGAAAATGTGCTGTAAGGCCAGGGCTGAGGTGCTGGAGTGAGGGCGCAGGACTCCTGGGTTCTATCCCCGGCTCAGGGAGGGGAGGGGGGTCTAGTGGGTTGGCGGGGAGCGGTTAGGAACCAGGACTCCTGGGTTCTATCCCCGGCTCAGGGAGGGGAGGGGGGGTCTAGTGGGTTGGCGGGGAGCGGTTAGGAACCAGGACTCCTGGGTTCCATCCCCGGCGAGGGGAGGGGAAGGGAGGGGAGGGGAGGGGGGTCTAGTCGGTTGGCAGGGAGCGGTTAGGAATCAGGACTCCTGGGTTCTATCCACTGCTGGGTGACCACAGGCAAATGCCCTTGCAGCTCTGTGCCTCAGTTTCCTTTTCCACCTTTGGTCTATTCACTCTG